ATTTTGCAATAAGAACGAATTATTTATCAAAAAGTAATCAAGAACTATCACCTAGAGGGTATCCTGCGACACACTTAGGCTCAAGCTGTAAGAGGCAAAATACCCAAAAAGAAGTTTGTAAAAAATGAATCCGCCTCAACAATATAGAACTTATCAGTTCTTACTGTTTAGGAGAATGTTTGGGTCTCTTAAATGGAGTTTTTTGGAGGCAAAAGCTCATAAAACGCCGGTTAAGCAGCTTGTTTTCGAAACTATTATTTCATAAGGAGCAACTCCTTAGCCAAAGCTCGAAATTCAGCAAAGCCTGCTAAAAACCGTTCAGTTCGGGATTTTTTATGTCTGGTTTTGGTCAGACAGTGGATTCAGCGTATTTATTATGTAGATGATAGGGCGTTTTTAGGCGATCCACAAAAAAGGCAACCTTGATGCACATTGGACATTGTTTTATACATTTTGAGGGTTGAAAAGCACAATAAAGTGAGTAAGCAAAGACGACAATTGCATGTAAAAAATAATTTAGGTTGAAACGTTATGTTATGTTACTCACTTGGAAATGTCGACTGCGCCACATCTAACAAAGACATTTGCAAATGCATGGGGGTCTCCACAAATACCCGAAGCTATAGTGGATATCAGCTGATTAAGAGCGTAGCTTTCAGCCAAAGGACAGTCTTCGATATAATTGGGGTTTCCCAGCTTTTTTGGAAAGTCCTCTTCCTTCACTCCCCTGAAACGTGCCGTGATTGCCATCGAGCCACTTTTACCTGCAAGTTTTCTGCGCAGTTAAAATATTATTTGATCAATGCCTGAGGTTGCTCAACCAAACACTTCCACCGGCTTGGCTTGGCTGTATAGAGGCACCGCGAGATCAATTTCGGGGCCTCCTAGCATGGGCACATAACAATTACTAGGGTCCAGACCCTGGAAACGTCCCAGAAGAGTGTTTGCTTTCACCTGGAAAATGCTCTATTTTCTCCATTGTTGAATGCTTCCGATCAGTTACTTGAGCTAGAGCTGCCGAACCGACTATCCGGCCTGGATGGTAAAAGTTGGTTTTTTTAAACACCTCTGCGACAAGAGGAGTGGTAACTGATACAGGAGGCACGCAAACAACAAGGACAGCTCGAGGTGCATAAACTGTGCATTGAGCAGCGATGTTGGAAACACGCTTTCCCTCCTTCATCACCCGTTCTCCTAGTGGAGTGTCCGGTTTGGAGCCTTCTGTGGGGAGGATGACCACAATATCCGCGCTCTATGAAACAAAAAACTACTTTTGACTGATTTTCCAGTAGATTTTCACCTACTTTGACTGCCTTTGAAACGGATTGTTCCAATCCGCAGTAAGTTCGCACGCGACATCTGGTATCGAAGAAATTGAGATCGTTTCCCATGTTTTCAATGGGGAAACAGCCTTGCAGATGAAGAGTGGAGATCAATGGGTTTTGCTTGGCCAGGAAGCTGGTGAAAGTTCCCAACCGAGTGTTGGCCCCTAAAACGCAAACCTGGACCGACTTTTGAAAGTCCGGTTTTGTGCAGAGCTGTGAGGAAAAATCGGAGCGTCTCAGGGCTAGAAAAAAGGGTGCCAACTCAAGATGGGGGTTTGCGGCAACTGGTTACTTACAGTTTTTTAAGAGGTTTTGTAGGTTCATTTTCATGGGAGATTTTGGTATGCGGATGAAGGAGAATGTCAGATTTTGATTATGAAAGCCTAGTGATTTTGAGTAAGAAAGGAGTGTGATCAGGATTGGGGAAGCTGAGTGAACGAGCAGCGCAAAATTGGAAAACCAATATCAATAAAAGGCCATAAAGTATTGATGTTATTTAATCCTATTCAGTCTTAAGTTCCCTAGCAGCAGTTTGACAAAGGTGGAAGCTCCTAACGGATCTGCTGCTTAACAGCAAGGCCATAGGGCGACTTGAAGCCTGTTTGCAGGAAAAACTGACCAACAGTGTCTCTGGAAAAAATGCGAAAATAAAGTGGCAACGAATGAGTTAGTTAAAAAATAATAGTGATTTTTCCGATCAATTTATATCCTTCCAAGAACTAGTTTCTCTGATCGACTAAACTTTGTCTGGTCAACTAAAAAATGTATGCAACTACCCACCTATTCCCAAATCCCATGAAGGCATCGAGTGTGAAATTGCATTCTTTGTTCGAGCCCTTCCAGTTCTCGCATTGCGTGGCTGGAAAAGCCCTTGGGTTTGTTACCGACTCGGCATAGAGGCGCCAAGCCCTTCCATGACTACACGCGACTGAAAATACCGGAATTTTTATTTATATTTATCAAAAATTAAAAGATAAAAACATGTTGAAGAACTGAGCTCTTACAAACTTGGTCGGCTATCCGTTGTTGTGCCAAGTAGCTGGGCTGGCAGCCTGGCTGTAGGGCTACTCCTCCATTGGGATAAAAGTCCGCATGTCCAATGGAAGCTGGAAAGCCGAATACTCCAGCATCGGTATGAATTACGTCTATATAGTCAGCGTCGGTTTCTGCAAGTCTCTTGGAGCGATCTAAAAATGCAGTTGATGGTAAAACGCATGAAGGAAAGTCCGTAAGCTGCAAGATAGTGAAGATAAGACTTTAAATGATTAAAATTAAATGAACTCTGAATGGTGAAATTGCACAGTTTTCCAGGATCAATCGACAAATGGAACATAGAACTCTCATAAAATTTTCTTTTGGCTCATTATAACTAGAATTTTAGATTATTTTTGCATTTACGGAAATTCCGAGATTTAACTGTAAAATTTAACGTTTTAACCACTTTAAACTTTTGGGTCCTTGGGATCCAAACTTTTTCCAAATCCAAAAAAAGTTTTTAAAACGTTTTGCCCAATGTGTCCACATCATTTTTAAGAGCTGGTTAATCTTGCTCTAAATCATCCATTACTAGTAATTTTTCTTCTGTTTTTACGTTAGATATTTAGTTTTGCAAAAATGCATTAAACGGCTTTTTGTTATTGATTTTTCCGATTATTTTCCAAATCTAAATACATTTTTTTTGTTGCACACTGTTTAAACTGGGCAACGAGAATTAACAAGGATAATTTATGTGAATATAAGGCGACTTAAGAAGTTGTCCTTTTGTACTTGTTGCAATTTGAGTGTGTATTTATTGTTCGTTTGTATTAATTTCACGAACATTTGTCTTAGAAAAGTTTACTGTATTTTCCATTAGAGAAAAAGCTCCCAACGCTCGGGCACAAACCAAATTAACATTTTCCGTGAGTCTTTCTAGATTTGAATCGATGTTTGGGTTTTATGTTGAAATCTGGACCGGATTGATACGGAAGGGTTTTGGTCGGCTTTCCAAACGAATGGATTGAACCAAGTGATATAAATGAAAATCTAGACTGGTAAAAAGTCAATTATTAATGCTAAACGGTGAAAAACTTACCAAATATTGCTACTACAAGTAAAAAAATCTCTTCAGCCTGTTCAAGCGCTTAAAATGAACGCATTCAAAAAAGATTTGACTATTTTAGTTAAAAAATGTAAGTTTGCTTTCGTGAAAATTCAGACAAAATGCATTTATTGCATTGCTAAAAAATACATAAAAAATGTTTAAATTATTTTAGCAATTTGAGCTGAAGTTAACAGAATTTAATTTTTTTGGGCAAAAACCATGCGTTAGACGAAATGAAAGCAAGAAACCAAATTTGTTTAGAGGTGAATGAGAATTCCAAAAACAATTTTTATTTTAAATGAGAGCAGTGGCGAATCACTTTTTTGTGGTACAGAAACCGTAGAGGCCCATGCGGTCCAAATAATAAAAATGGTTGCACATAAGAAAATGCATCATGAAGCATAGAAGACGGGCGCCAAATTCTATAGGGATTTCGACAAAAGTATCGCAGTTGTATAAAAAATTCTAAACTTTTCCCCCTTCGTCTCGAAAGTTAGGAGGTTTACGACACATGTCCATAGATAGTTTTTTTGTTGGAATTCATCCAAGAATTGCCCTTTTAAATATTCGTGTCATTAAGAAACTGGTAAGTAATGGAACCAAGCTAAACCACAAATTTCTGAAATAAAAAGGCTTTTAAAAAACATAGATTTCAAGAAAAGAAATTTTTTTGTGCTTTACTGAATGGAAATTTTGAATAACATCGATTCTGCTAAGCTTTCTATATAAAAAAGTTATACTTTTTTTTGTTTTTTGACCCCCAACATTCCATACAAGACTAAATGCTGGTTAATTCTAACTGGAAGTAACTTAGATTAAAATATTTGTGTCTTTGTTCCAGGAATCTGTGGTTTACTTTTGCAAGAATAATTATTGGACGTCCTGCATAATTTATAGCATATATAGAAGGTATTCCTGGGAAAAAAGGAAAAAGATCACAGTTCCTTGTTCGACCATTAAATTCCAAAATTATCCCAGGCTTTATAAACATTAGCCGACAAAAGGTTTATCATATCATCAATTCACCAGAGTTTTTTGCTGTTTCGTGAAAACTAAGCCAGTCCATTAATCAAAGAGACGTGTATTATACCAGTTAAGCAAATCAGGATCGATTCACGGTTGGCACTATTCGAGCTAACACTACAGGGATTATTGGATTGAATATGACGGGAATTTATATTCGAGGATTTCAGGCATCACTTGGCTATTCATGAAGATATTGCGAACATTCGAAGGGATCCAATATGGAATATAATCTAAAGTTAATTGGGAATTTTATTTGGAAAAAAATGGCGTGCTAAGTAGCCAAATTATTGATTTAAAGTTGCGTTTTTCGCTAACAAATTGTAACCGTATTCGTGAAAATCCGTTGGCGATCCGAAGCTTTGTGCGAAAGCTGCCAATTTAAGCTCCGGTGATTAACGACGCTGATTTGATTAATGTGGCTCTCATTCAATCATTTTCTAGAATAGTTGGAATTTCAACCTGTTTTGGAAATGCTTTTGCTTTCAGACATATTTATTTGCCAAAAGAAACGCGACTGAGCCAGAATTAGCAATACAAACAAGCCACGCAAATAAGACGGATTCCAAAACATCAACAAGCATTGTTTGCATTTAATTGAGCCATACGAGATTGCATGTTGAAAGTAATTAAAGAAGTTGATGCAATAAATGTAAATGTATGCCCAAATCGGTTCTAAATAGAAAAAAAAATACTTAATAATCTGCTCAATTTAATAATGACTGAACAGGCCTATTTTTTTAAATCGAAAAAGGTTGTTAAGCGGCGTTTTTAAGCGAAAACGGGGCTACAGAGTTACATTTTCATAAAATATTTCAAGGTTTGAGTGTTGAAATTACGCCGTTGAACGGATTCTTCCTAACGCATATGGGATCTTTTCAACGAATTACTGCGAGTTGCGGAGGTGCCGAACAACCTCAAGAAACGAATCTTTTATTGCTGTTTGCTAGATTTAGCAAATTCCAAATGTAAAAATACACCATCTGAAATATTGATGATACAAAATATCAAAACCTTCTAGTGCCTTCAGCATTCAAATCGCCCATTGCCTGATCAACCACTCTGTACAGAACCATTCAGGGCTCACTTTTAGCTCACTCAAGATCAGTTAACCACAAGTAAACACTTTCAATCTGGAAAGTCTGAATAAAAAATATCAGTAATTTTTTGCACTCGTGGTAAACTCCAGAAAATATTGCACTGGAAACTACTTCTCATTGAAAAAAAATCTATTGAAAAACCCGCCGTCTTGTCAGCGAAACGAGAATTGGAAAAGCAATAATTCAAAGCAAAGCCGGAAATTACAAGCTGAAACGTAACGTCGAGGAGGAAAATGATTTCAGTCCAATAATGCCCTCCTGGATCGATAGTTTGCAGTCATTTGTAGGCGGCTTTAGAACATTTAGATGCATCCAAAATTAATGGTAGTAAATATGATTTACCTTGCAAAGAAAATTCTGGAAAGGCCGGATCCAGAGCTGTGATTCTCGGGATTCTAAGTCCACTGGACAGTCCCTTTCCTGCCATGGAAGCAATGTGGCTTCCCAAACTGAACCCAACCACATGTAGGTTTTGGATGGGAATCTCCCCAGTTTGGCTGAACAGTTTAATGAAATTCCCCAGCACTTTCCCTACTAGTTTAACATTGTAAACTGCGGTGCGGTACCAGGGAAAGGCAGCCAATTCTCCCCAATCCAGCAGAATAATGTTGAAGTTCTCCGGTTTGGCCAAATAAGCTGAAACAATTTGGCTGAATGTTTTACTCTTGTAACGTACGAACGTTCCACTTACCATCTATTATTCCTCTTCCGCTTTCTCCGGGACTGGGTTCGGAAAATCCGTGAATGTAAATGATGGTTTTCCATTCCGGATTAACGCCAGCTCTTCGAGCAGCCCCATTCTCGTTGTAGGGATGAATAGTTATACCATTTTCAGGATTGTTTTTCGTGTAGAGGACGAACTTTACGTCCCGGGACATTTTAATTGGACAGCAGTTGCTGCATGAGCCGCGAGGGATGGATATCACTTTGAGGAAATTGTCTCCTGGAAACCGGGTTCAAAAATATTATTGAGTCCAGAAATGGTAGCGAAGTGGAAACTTTCATGGGAATAAGTTTGCTAGTTGGGAGGTGAGAAGTTTTTTGAAAAGCTTGCCTCTAAATTGCAAGTGAGACGAAAAATGTCGACACTTTTGAGTAGTTGAAACCACTCGGAAAAAGTTTTTTTCAAACTCAGATTTTGTCTCGTGAGCCCTCATTGGAAAGATGGGCCCAACAATAACCGATTGTACTACGCAATTTTTTAGTTTCAACCTAACATTTGCTTCAAATCTGTTGTTGTCTAAGTCTCTAGATTATTTAGTCGCTTTCATTTTGCAACATTTCCTCTGTTATTTTAGCAATTTCCTAGCCGAATCTTTTCCGAAGCTCTGTGGAAATCTCCCGGTGAAAAGTCTGCAGAAGCTGATGCCCTCAATGGGACCTCGGCTTCCAGTACGTCAAGCGAATTTTCTTCTTTTTTGTTTGTTTTTTGCCCGCTTTCTTGCATTCAAGTTTCCGTTCAAAAAACGTTATTCTGCTTCTTCAAACCTCCTCAACATGAATGGTTTAAGCCAATAAAAGCGTCGTTGTCGTTATTGCATGGAGAAAGTCAAAGTGCCATAAAAGTTGCTTTTGGTTCTTCGTCTAAAGCGCTTAATAAGCGAGCCACTGGAGGTTTTTGAAAATATTGAGTTCGAGTTTCTTTTTGCCATTTCTGGGAAGATTAAAAACTGTTAATATTAAAATCTGAAGAAACTGCAGGCCACTCATGGCGACCTTGCCATTCTAGAGGATTTTTTTGCATTTTGGTTTTGTAATTTGCATTTAAATGTCTACAGTTTTCATTCATTAAAACATTTCCATTTTCATTAAAACGAAAGTGGAATTTTGAAAGCGACTCTGGAAAGTGCTCTTAGTCAAAGGTGCGTTAGCCACTGGAGCTTTTTCGACAAGATTAAGATCGAGTTTTTCTTCAGCATTGCTTGGAATAATTAAAACCGTTAATATCACGGACACAAGAAGAAAATTTCCTCAGGTTTTAGTTTATTTTACGTGCACTTTAGATGGGGATTCAATGTGGAGTTTGGAATATTTAATGGGATTTTTCAGGGATTAAACAGTTTTGGCTAAAAAATCTAAAAATTCCTTTGGCATGCAATAGTTAATACACATGGCAAGCTTTGGGATGAAAAGATTTAAAATCCAAAAAACTTTGTTGTTTTAAAATTTCTTCGGCTCAAATCGCTGGATTTCCATCGATTTTCACATTTTTATTTTTTCTTCGAAAGCAAGGCGATTTATCAAAAAAAGATATTCTGAACAAAATGTGCTCAATATCATCAAGATACAGCCGGTAATATGTTTTCAAAGCTATCTCAAGAACAGTTTTCAGGAAAATTATAAAAAAATTGTTCCAAAACTAGTCTCTTTTATCGGTTAAACAACAACAGTTTGGGATATTTTATATAAAAGAAAGTTGATCGGAGAAAAATATTCATTCTGATTAATCGCAGAATTCAGGCCCCGATCCCGATCATCCAAGTAGCTCTTGAGCAGCTTTTTGCGATTAAGATTAGTTTCACGCGGTGAAAGCACTGGACTTTTCTGCTTCTAATTTACCAAGAAACACTTTGATCTGTTGCAAATCAGGACGACCTCGATCAGACGAAGAAATTCCCATCTAGTTGGTTCAATCATCATCAAGATTTCAATGTTCAGCAATTCAGCTAGATATAAAAAATAATAAAAATGAAAATTAAATTTTCTCCACCATCGAAAATTCCATATAAATGTGCCTCACTTTACATTTTCAGCAAAGTAAAGCTCTGAAAACCATGAAATTACATTTGCCAGACTGAAACCACATCGTGTTAAAACGGCAATTGCATTACCCTGGACAGGCGCTGAATATAGTCAAAATTCTCCAGGGATTTTTTGGCGCTCGAGTTCAAAATCCAGATCCAACAGGAAAATTAATCGATGTTTTCATTAAATCCAGCGCCGAACCCAAACAACTAATATTAGTCGTACATTGTTTGCTCTCATTTGTTGTTTAATGAGTTAACACGTAGAACAACAGCTGATTTTATTGGCAAATTTCATTACAACATTGTGAAGGACCGCATTAAACAATGCTGAACAAGCAGGAATAACTCAGTTTAATGTTTTTGAGGGCTGCGAGTGGTTGTTGCATTGTAGAGTTCATTTGATTTGCCAGCGTGCTGAACGAAGATAATGGTTTCAAGTAAAAGAGCGTATAAATCACTTGAAGTTGCAGCAAAATGTTACGAATGGAATAAAGGGAAAGGCACTTGACAAATTGCAGGAATATAACTTATCTGGACTGCCCAAGATTATTTCAATTTTATTGCTTGATTTCCGATCCAAAGCTGCTTTGTATATATTGCATGTATGCGGAAGACACGTTCTTCATGGTGTCTGAATAAAAGAGGACAAATCGCTTTTTTTAGGGGCACTATTTGGAGAAGGAACATTGAAACCTTGAAGGAGATTCTAACGTCGACCTCCTAAAACAGTTCGGAAATTTCCTAATGTGTGTTTCAAAAGCAAATTTCGTGAATATGAAATCAATTTGTAATTTTTCGCCTGGTTAGCAGGTTAATAAATAATAAATGAGTATGTTGATCAAATATCATAAAGCTTTTGAACCATATGAAGGACTGCATTGCATCAAGATGCCTAAGTTGGACCGCGATGCGGAATAAAGTTTCTTTATTAAAAGAAACTGGAGCGTGACAAACTCATAAATACAAAGGAAGAAAAGTTTTTGTTTTCGTAAATGTGGCCGAAATGAATTTGGGCGCTGCCATGTGCAAACGCATAATGCATTCGAGATTTGGCCGATTTCATGCAGAATTTTTAATCACGTCCTGGACACATAAATAGTGATGAGGGCTTGATGGCAAATATTAATCATTGTTTTTGTTCGTTTCTTAACATTCATTTATTTCGTTTTATTATCTATGGATTTACTGCTAGCAATTTTTTGTGGAACTAATTGCTTCCTGTGTATTTCTTCGATTAGTTTTGATTTTGATAGAAAACCATTACAGATGTTTGACGAATTTTGCGTCCAATGCTTCTGCATCTATTCATCAAATAATTTAGAAGCACAGGGAACCGTTGGAACAATAATTGGATGACAGTAATATTTAATATATAAAAAATGTGTCTTTTGCAAAACATGACAAAACGGCGAAAATCGCAAAACTCTGTATCATAGATTTCATTCGATTTTAGAATGCGGACTCAATTAGTTTCCTTAATGAAATTTACGAAGTTTTTAAGATTCAGATGCGTTCTAAAGATTAATAGATGAAATGTTCAAGATTTTTATTTGCCTTAATTCCCTCAAAGAAGCACCTTGATTAATGCTTATTTCAATCGCACAAATTTAATCACTTATTAACTAAATTAATTGTTTAATTAAGCAAAACAAAAAATATTTTTTTAAATGATTTTTTGAGAGTAAATTCCGTTCAGTTACAAACTGCAAACTGCTATCAGCAAAGTTTTAAAATCAGACAACTAAACCTACAAATTTTGGTTGCCTTATTTATACTAGCCTTGACATTTTTTTGTATTATGAGCATTAATTTCATATTTATCACACAAGAAACATGTTAAGTACCTAAATAGTTTATCATTGAACTTACCGAAGTATAAATTAAGTGTTGAACAGGCCGGAGTATTCCTGAGCAAATTAAATGGGAATATTGAAAAATCACTGGCCCGAATACTGCGCTCATTCGACCCCAGGAGATTTTCACTTCTTGCATTCTCAGCAAAAGGAGTGTAGAGAATATTGACGCCGGTTGTAATCAAAAACGACAAAATATTCATATTAATAAAATATGCACAACGGAATGAGAGAAGAAACAACCAAGATTAATTTTTGCACTTGCAAAAAACACTTTTTGAGCACACTTAGCGCACTACCGCTGTCAGAAAAAAACAAACCAGCAACAATTTTTTTTCCGTTCGCTCCGGAAAACGAGTTTGATGAAAGATTGTCGGATTCGAAGTCCATGAAACTTAATAAGAAAAAGCTACTTCCGCAATGTTGTTTTTTATAAAATCATCGGGTTATATGCACGAGAGGACGCCGGCGTTTTTTTAAAGGCTATCATTTGTTGCGCTGTATGATTTAAGGTGTACACTTTGCATGTTTCTCATAAACATTCATACAGTTTTGGTTTAGGATAAGAACTATTTTGTTAATTTCATTTTCTATCAAGCATTAAAAATTTCAAGTTTTTGCAAAATTTACGTGGTTATTAATATTTTTGCTCTCAAATTATTATTATTTTTCGACTAAGAACAAGTAGTTTGGGGATTTAGCATCAGTCGCATTTTTTCTCAAACTGAACATTTTTTTGGAGCATTATTCAGTTCATTTGGAGCATTAAAATAAACTGTATTATTTTTCGGTTGTTAACATTTAAGTTAAATCAGAGCATGTGCTGGAAAAACTGCAAAACCATTGCTGCACATTTGATCTTAAAATTAGGAACTTTGCGGTTCATTTTCAGCTCGAAGATTTTAATGAGGAACTGAGGAAGATTATTTTGATTTATAAAAATACCTGCCGGAATTTTGCCTCTTCATCTTGAGTATGCGAGTGACCCCCATGAATCAACTGTGAAGGTTTGCGCTCCATAATGTGCATTTGTGCTTTTATAATTAACACGCATTTATAACCGCAATATAAAATATTTTGATGCTTATTTTGAAGGGTAGGAGCGAGATCTTCAGGAAGCAGAAGATAATTGTTCCTCGCGGAATAAGCGCTCATAAAATAAAAAGAGTTTGTTTTGCGGGATCAGTCACTAACACTAGTTTAAATGAAAAATGAATAGATTAATTATGAAAAATAATAAACTACAGGAAAGTAAAAGTTTTAGAACAAAGGAACATTTAAGCCAAGGCGCGTGTATTTGAAACATCTTATTTAGATTTTATGCAAAATTTAATTCGTGTATTTGTATAGAGTGTATTTATTTAAGACTCCGCATCGGGCAAATGACCCGAATAATACATTTAAATTTGCTTGAACGCAGGAGAAACTCTTCTAAATTTTTGTACTTTTTTTAAATGAAGGAGTTGAAAACACAAGCTTTTAGCGATTTTGTCAAGCCGCTCATTTTGGGGAAAAACATGTAAAGATTTATTTAAAAATAAATGAAAAATTACGACACATTAAGTACTATAATATTAATACTAAAATTAGAAATAAATATCCAATAAAAAGTCACAGTTCTGGTTTTAATTTGTGCTAGATCGCAAAAATATTTTATTTTAGGAAATATCCGCCAGTAAAGTTATAATCTTTAAGCTAATTAGCGTAAGCTATAATTAATAGCGTAAGCTATAATCTCTAAAGGAAAACCGCAAAAAATTCCGCTGAAAAAAACATTAGGAGTAAAATTTCAATATTACAAAAGGTTATCATTCGAACTGACACATAGTTGAGAATAGCGCAAATTAACTAACATTTAAATAAAATTTTAATCGGTTTCCATTACATTATCAATTACTGTATATTTAGCAGACCACAGTACAATATGACACAAATAGAATAGATATGTACATTTCGCAATGAATCACCTAGAAGGTAAACCACATCGCTGTTAAAACGTTATATGTGTTAAACAAGAAAATTTTAAATTAATGTTACCTGAAAAAAATAACTGCGTCTTGTTTTGTCTAATTTACATAAAATGTATGTATGGCTTAACCTTTGGAACCAATATCCGGTTCAGGAAAATGGTTAATAAAACCCCAGTTTATCTTGCGTAGGTGTTTGAATTAGCTTATAAATTTGGGGAATTTTTGTCTTTTACTTGCGTCATTTATTTACTAGGAAAGTTACAAATTTTTAGAAATAATGAATTAAAAAATTCTTATAACTGAAGCTCGAAAAATTAATTAATTAGCATACTCTAATCTCTATTAATAATCCGCACAAACCTTGCCCGAAGTAACAGAAATAACAAAATAATAACACACCTCGGAGACCTTCCACCTTGTGCATTTGCAAAATTCGGTGTGAATGTTCGACAGGTTTTACATTGGCTATAATTCCTACCTTAAACAATAAGATGAAGTCGAAGGTTAGTTCCTGTAATCGCACACAAAATGAATTAACGCTAAAGCTTTAATAAAAAATTAAACATAAAGCATAAATTTGAAAAAAATCGATCAAAACCAGGCATAAGGAGTTATAGATTTCGATTATAGTCGTATTTTTCTCGTTGCAGGAAAAGCTTTTATCCAAATTGGAAGAGAGCCAGCCGGAATTAGCTACATGCCGTGAAGAGGAGGTAAACTTTTCAAATTGCACATTTGCATTCCAGTAAAGCGATTTTTCGATTTAAAGGCAACATAAATCGAAAGTTTATTTTACAGTGTGTTATTTGCATTAATGCCAAAGCCACCATGCAAACCTTGCCTTGCGACCATCAAGTAGTCTGCAGAAGATGTTTCGTCAAGACTATTCAGATAGCAGTGTCTCAAAGACTTCTTCCACTCAGATGTGTTATATGTCGATCGAAGATTTTAAGATTGAAGGTTTGTATAGTGAGTTTTCAGTTTGCACTCTTCGAACTTTTCATATGTGTGAAGAAGTAACTGAAGAAAGTTGAAAAATCTTGGAAAGTCTGAAGAAAAATTAGCTTGCTTGATGTTTACTTTTTTGAATTCCCCGGTTGCAACCACTTTCCATTTATTTGTTTTTGTGTTAGAAGTTTTTGTCCTAGTTTACCACATAGGTGAAACTTTGTATACTGATTACTTTCTTCCCAGAATGGTCGTCCCATGTTACCTTCTTCAATTTCCGAATACTCGATGACCTCTGGTGACTCGTCTGTACCTGCCTCGGACAGCTTGTACAGTGTGAGTAGCGGTGGTTCTTCCATTTCCTCATCTTCCAGCTCTTCCGACGGTGCGCATCTGAAGCACCAAACAGCGCCAGGAAGAAAATGCTGCGATGGTCACTGTGTAGGCGGCGCATACCCTCGACAGCCCAGTACTGGAGCTATTCGAAGGTAAGCATATGAAGAGCGCAAAATCTTCAACTTTCTCACCTGAACCTGCATCTTCGGTGATTTTTCCTAAAAGTTCAAGACTAGGCAATCGACCCTGAGTCCTTCCTTCCGTCTTTCGCTCTCTTGCTAATCGATTATTCCGAATTCGAAGGCGGAATTTGCATAAATAATTAATTATTGTTAATGCAAAACATTATGACGCTTTAACTCGGCAAATGCGAAAGTTGCAAATGTTCATTGTTTTTCTGTTTCAGGTCCCAGAAGCAGGAAATGAAGATGACACTCAAAGACTATTGTAGAGCGGAGAAGAGTCACATCAATCGGTTACCTCCAATTCGCGAATCCAGTCCTCTACACAGTGTTCCACCTGCTTCCACAAGAATAAGGTGAAAACTCACTCTGTTTATGGTTTTTCAATTGAATAATTCATGGTGTTTATTAGATGTGCACAGAAAATCATCACTCAACTGGAGCTGCCTTTCCTTGGTAGATCATCCAAGGGAAATAAATACGAAAAACTGCAGCAAAACGATGAGGAGGATGAACTTGCTTATGTGAATCCATCGAAGAACAGCGTTAAAGAGAAAAACGATAAGAAGCCAGAAGACCGCAAACGTTGGTGGTCCGATCGGACCAAATCCGAAGAGCGAATCGACAATAAGAAGAACGAGATTCTCGAGAAAAGCATGGAAATGAAGGAGAAGCTGGTTGTTATAAAAAATACCAAAGGAAAATTGAAAGCAAGTCGAGATGAAAAGCTGTAAATGAGATTTCAGTGCGGCACAAGTTTTTAAAAAGTTTTGGAATTTTCAAGGTTTTTTATTCGCGATTTTAAGGAAAACGTAGTACAATTACCAATCAAAATGTTCGTTAACAACAAGCAAAAATAGAATACTCGTTAAAAGCCTCAGTATTTCAGAAGCAATAGTTTTATGCGACTTTCCAAAAAAGGTGGTTTTATTTATATTTTTAATGTTATTTTTGCACATGCTCATTAGCGTTTTAGTCAGGCAAAAAGAGCATTCGACTTTTGCGTTATTTACTAAATTAAAGTGAGGTTCTGCATTTTCGGCAAAATTTTTATTTCTGAAATTTTAAGGGCGCATAAAATTTACAGGCAAAAATTGTCAATTTTATTATTATGTAATTTGCTTGTATTTTAAAATACCAGACTATCGCCTAAGAAAAAAATTTTATGTTTGGTCAGGGCTGAATAAAAAAGTATTAAAAGGAAAAATGATAATTAGCAGTTGCAACTTTCGGCTAATGCTGGATGAAAAATCACTGTTCAAAAGAACTGAACGCAAATTTTTCCAATTGCAAATCTGTTATCATGAAGCAGCAAATGACAATGAAAACGTGCCGGATTCCAGCAGAAAAATTAATTTTTAGTCTTTAATGGGTTATGTGTGAATAATCGTTTAATCTCCTTTTGTGCTTCAAAAACGCTGTAAAAATGGTATTTTCTTGGCTAAATATAAGTTACCAAAACAACAATAAAGCAAAGTGTTGTGAGTAATGATTGATAAAATGAGAACAATGTTTTTTGTGCAACTCGCTAATAATAAATCGAGTTCTAGCACAAGCAGGATCTCTCAGAACCGGTTTCGGACCTATTAGCTCTTATCAGCTGGACAAAAGCCTGTAGTTTAAACGAACAGTTTTGAGTTTTTCATTCATCAGTTAAGTCCAGCTGATGAGGGCCAATAGGTTGGAAAAAAGCCTTGCTTGCGACAGGGCGAAAAAGTATTTTCAAACTATAAGGCGAGTTGCAAAAATTTGACTGAGATAACCACTATATTTTGCCACTTTGTGTTAAAGATACATTTTTTTAATAACTGCCCTATGAATTAGCGAAAGTTAAAATGAATAGAAAAATGCATTGAATTATATAGTTTAGAGTGCGTATTTTATGCAGCATCCTACAATAATTGAGAATAGAGCATAGAGATAAATATAAGTCAATTCTAGAAGACGATATTTTAAGGTTGTATGAAAATGTCTATTGTTGCCGAGTAGATAGAGAAAGTTTCGAAAAACATATCGTTTTTCATTCAAATTTTACAGAATTGTGTACTGATTTTGTACTTACACTTAAGTGCATGTGGATAGTAAGTCTGACGCTATTCCTGTTTTAAATTAAGTTAAAATAATACGTAATAAACATTCTTAGACAATGACTAGGTTTATGCCAGAGAGGTGATTTAATTCTACAAACTTCACCTGTTTTTATTTCGGGTCTTTTGACGCCGCAAAAATGTTTATTCCTAATTATATGTATTTATTCTTTAATATTGGATGAAAAACACGTAGACCTAAATGTAGTCGTCGTAGTTTACAATACGATAACCTTCCTAAAAACGTTAGAAGTTGTTAAATTTTCTAATTAGACTTAGATGGGTTTTAACGTCGAAAGAGGCATGTAAATTAAAATTGTCTAAGTAGGGACTAAAGACTGTACAAAATGTTTTATTTTCAATACCTCTGTGTTGAAAGTTTTATGAATACATTTTTGCAAGCAGCAACAAATTGTGTCTTTATTTACCTAATTTTCATATAAAATTTCACAAATTCAGCCTAATTCATGCAACAGCGCAGCTGCTTCACATACAGTGTTTGATACGTGGATTAATCCTTATAGCTATCGACATTAAGAAATGATTAAAAAGTTTTGAAGTGTTTGGCATCGAAAGCAAACCTTAAACCTGCGAGACAAAATTAAATCATAAAATCTCCCTTGAATTATTATGTTTCAGTTAATGGAAAAATGATTTACAAGCATGCAAATATTTGGTTGGTAAATTGGTGCTTCGGCAATTTGCACTGGTCAATAACAGAATAGCAGACGAAAAATTGCAAAAAATCTTCAATCATAACCAGAAAAATCTTGCAAAGTCCCTTCAGTCGATTGAACATTCCAAAAATTGGAAATAATAAATTTGCTTAATAAAACAATTTTCTACAAAATCCTGTAAACCTCACATAAAGCACCGCTATAAGACACGATATTTGGCCTAAAGTGGCGATAAATAATGCACTCATCCCTCTAGCGCGCGAATTGAATTACCCTTAGACAGGAAACCTACATGGAAAGCCCATTATAACGGAGTGAAGAAAGCGATTGACTTGAAAATGATGTTCGAAATGTCCCTACTTGTAATGTGCCCTTTTAGCTATCCCTAGGGATAAGCCTCAATTATATCTCAAGAAAAAATTAGAATGTCATACAGATTAACTAAAAAGTTGCTGAGAAAGTTGGTTAAAATGATGGGCTTCATGAGAACACTGACGAATTGGAGGATTTAAATCATTGGAGAAAACATGACAATGAACTTCAATAAAACGGGGAGCAGTTTTGCCGTTTAAACAATCAAAATAAAACGATTCACCCCCATGTACGTGCGGGGAAAGTTAAATAAGAATCCCTTTACTTTTCCACACTTTGAAGCCAAAGGAAAGTTTGAAAAATAAATGACTCCTATTGGACTGATCACCCGAGGGACGCAAAAAACAGCATGCATAAATATCCAAATCCAGTGTTTGCAACTATCGTTTTTGCGAAAAAACTGGCAAAATCTGCGATGCTTTTCATGTAAATTAGAAATGTCGACACAGCCGTTTTTTTCAGGGAGAAGAGCACATCCATATGCATAGTAGGGCATTTCGAACAGGAATTGACGAAAGGGAGTAGTAAAAAAATTCCAAATAACGCCCCACTTTGACATAATTTAGGCACAGGGCGTGATGTGAATGAATTTTATCAGTCCGTTCGAATTGCTTTCTTTTAAAGCACGTGAAAACTGTGATCAAATGGTGAAGAGACAATTTTCAGTCCGAATTTATAAAAGTCCATGTAGGAGCGTGCATGTATAAAAGTCCTCGTAGAATCATTGTACGCTCTTAAGGTCTATCAACTGGCTTTGCCTAAGAAGATTTTGACGATCAAATGTGTTTGTTTATTTGGCTATTCAGAATGTATTTTTTCTGTTTCATTTATTTCGAAATCTTACAGTTTAACAGTTCTAGAGCTGACGATACTGCTGCTAGCTTCACAATAGAAATCAAGCTATCTTTCAACAAGTAAGCGAAAAAGTTGCTTGAAAAAAGATATTTTCTTTGGAATATAAAAGCTCAATATCAAAGAAAAATTAATACAAGTATAGAGAAGCAATAAACCGAGCAAATTTAGCGAATAGAAGAATCGCAAGGGAAAACTGGCACACTGAAAATTAAAGGACAGTGTAGAAGATGCTGAAAAATTAGCACAAACGTGTAAAGGAGGTGAACATCCACACCAAGAAGATCCCATAGAACGAATGGAAACTAAATTCCAAAACCTGTGAAGGAAGTTGGGATTCAGAGAAGACAATGTTTAACTAAGTTGAAGAGCTTCAAGCACGTAACGAAAGCAACAAATTTTCAGAAAGAGCAGGTTCACAAGTCATTCTCTATTTATCGCAGACGTTAAAATTGTTGTTTAGTGCGTGTATTACTGAGCAGACCAAAGCGCTTGACTGAGTATAGCTGAGTATACACTGAATGCATTAAAAGAGACAATATGATCATCAATCATAAACATAATAAGAACAAAACAAAAACAAAAAGTGGGTCTAGAAATCAAAATATTGTCCGAACTCTTAGCGCCTTTGGCATCCGATTAAAACTCTTTCAACTATATAAAAATAGGCGACGTTTCCATCATTTATTTAGGTCGTCATCAAGGCTATTTTTGATAAATAGAAGCACTGAAACCAATATTATTATTATTACTTATTCAAGACGATTTAAATAGACTAGAGGTAGTGGACTTGATGAAAGGTCTTAAAATTCATACAAAAAATGCCACAATATGCAGGAGGGCGTTCAATTGAAAAAAATATTACCGCTAATAGTTTTTCCAGTGAACTTTTACAAAAATCCCTGATTGTAACCAGTTAAGCAAAACACATAATCACCAATATAAGAGACAAAACCAATATCTTAAAACGCACTTTATTATGGATCATAAATACAATCTCGTTGATTCTTAAATAGAGCCAGAAACTTCAAATGAAAAGTTGCAGTTAGAAGATGAGTGAGGCAGTTAATCGATTGGCACATTTCTTCACTTAAGTTAGCATAAATTAAGCTCATTTACTGGGCGCTTCCAACAATGGATTTGCATTGTCTGTATCGTTGCCCATAAGGTTCAGGTAGAGGACCTTGACATCCATATCCTCCATATTTGTGAATGGCTGCAAAATCATCACAGTCGATTTTAGCATCACCGTTGCAGTCCTGCAAAATACACAATTTTTATTTAAAAATTATCAAAATTCGACTAGTCGACTAACAGAGCAAACATTTGAGCAAATAATCCAGTAATAACCCAAACTAACAGGGTGTAAAGTTTCCTTTGAATAAAAAAGCGACATTTTTCGTAATATACGTACTTGTTGAAATTTGCTCATGTATCCTTGAACACACAATGCTGAGCAGTAAGTATCTCCAGCACAATGAGCATAAGCCGTAGCAGATTCAGGCGATTCTCCAGCTACAGTCGGTTTTCCTGCATCAGCCCAGTAAGCCCATGTGATTCTGAAGGGACCACAAACGTCCCCAGAACAGATATTTGTGGTGTTACAGCCCGAAATGGCCTCACAAATACAGCCCAGACATTGCTGGGTGACGGGCAGATCATCAGCAGATACAGCTGAAAATATCATCAATTTTAAAAATCAGTTGAATACGTTTTTTAACGTCCCCTTTTAGCATTCAAATCTATGCTTGGAGGAGACTAATTTTTTTTCGGTAAATCTCAGGTGTTTAATATATTGCGATATTTTAGGCACTTAGAGGTTGATGTAATGGAAACCGTAAACAATAATGAGACTCTGAGCTTTTTCCAGATAAACAGAGAGAAAATCTAATTGCCATAATGATCATAACAGTCACGAAAGTTTAATAAATATGAATATAAGCCAAATAAATTCAAGTTAGTCCAGTAATTACATCAGAGATATGCTAAGCGCCGCATAACTTTTTCTAATTGCTATTTACAACAATGCAATATGAATACTAATTTCTGTTGTCTTATGAGTTAAGCACTTAGCAAAATATTAGCGAATTTTGAACTTAAATGAGCAAAACTCCAGTTTTATTTCACACAGCAAATTAAAAATTTAATTGAAGATAATCTTGAGTGCCTTCAATAATGTTACACTGAAGTACAAATATTCCAATCAAATCATTCTTTTCAAGCAATAAATCTGAAGATTCGGTAGCAACTTTAATCAGAGATAAAAAAACAGTATGCAAATAGACGAAAGAAATTTTAATCTGCAGGGTTTTAATTGCAAAATTTCATGAGAAATATTTAAACTCCAAAACTAACAATTAACTTGTCACGCTTTCACAGAAAAACTCGAATATCAATAAACAAATTTTAACATTAATTGAAGAGAATCTCGAGTATCTTCAATTTAAGAACATCGTCCTTACGTATTTCCACTAAATCATGCTTTAAGGTTTTTGAAGCAACAAATCTGAATCTAAAGCTGCAATTTTATGCAGAGATAAGAAAAACCGAAGGAAAACTTCACCTGTAGGGTTTTAAAGGCAAAATTACAAAATTTCGTCGGAACCATTAACACCCCAAACGTGCCAATTATTCCCACTAACTCGACAAATTTTTGCGTTTAAACAGAGAAACTGAAAAATAAATTTACAAATCCACATCGAGTTTTATTCCGCGGAGCAAACTGTTCAGTTGATTGAAGAAAACCTCAAGTACTTTGAATATGGTTATACTTGCAAGAGACAATTGTTCCCACCAAATCCCAAACTTAAAATGTGGTGAAAAATTATGAAATTGGTAAAACATTTGGAAAAACTAATTTGTCTTGCAGTTCAATGGGTACTTTTAGATGCTAAAGGCTTCCCAGCCTCATATACAGGGTGTTTGAGTTTCCAATAACAAGATACTAACGGTCAAAGAGCGGAATTGATCACAATAGTGTACAGTGTTTTTCAATGGGCTTGATGCATTTTTCGCGGTTTTACGATAAAAATTATATAGAGTTTGGGGTATTTGGAGCACATTTGCCAATTTTGCTCGATTTTCTCTCTCGAAATATCACATGAGTGTTTTTTGAGCTAAACGCATTGTTTTGGATCCAAAATCCTTCCAGATTTTGGGTTTACGTACAGAACAAAGCAGATATCGTCCCTTAAAGATGGTAAATATTTACACTAATCCTCAGCAAATAGAAACACAAAAAGCCCCAAGATTGATTTTATTCATCCTATCCAAGGACTTGCGAATGGAATTTGCGGGTAAACATTATTGAAAATGGGATTTTCCATAGTAGCACTATCGTCTACGCTGAAGGGGCCAAACGAGTCTTTTCAGGTGCTCTATTAATATGAATGGCATTATAACTTTATTCCTCCATTATGCTTCCAACAGTGTTTTTGTACGATAAAATATCCGCTCGATTCAGACTCCATTGTGCCTTTGAATTTTTCAGAAATAAACGAAAGCAAGCCGGAGATTGAAGTAAATTAATGAAAAATGATGCAGTGTCCACAGCATTGAGTTTCGAAAATTTTCTCCCATTCATCTTGGTTCACACGGTTATTGAAAAATTTGAATTATTTCAACAGTTAGTTTCTTACTAACTGCATCATTAGAACATTCTCTAAAAAATAACTAAAAACAATTTAACGAACAAACAACAACTCAGTCGCTAAAATGGGATATCCATTAACATATCTTGAATAAAATGAGTGCAAAACAATATGTAAAACTCTGATGAAGATTAATCTAATTATAGATTCTTAGACATTGTCCTTTGGATCTAGGTGAAGGCTTTCTACATTTCTTTGAAATTGATATAACACTGTAATCCCGATAAAAGAAATCTTTTGGCCTTTGATGGATACGCATAATTCATTCGGGTTTTTAGATTAATTATTTTAAACAATTGCAAACTAAGTTAGGTGAAAAGTCAGTAAACTACTACGCAAGAATGCTGATTGCATTAGCACCATTTTCTACGTAATTGATTAATTAAATATTTTTATTTACTCAACGCAACATGGGCGTTCAAGACTTTCACTCGAGCAAACAATTAAGTTCCAAATCTCTTTGCATTTATTTATCGGTAATTATTTTTTTATGACAAAATCCTACTCACCCAACACCTTCACTCAAAGGTTACGCCGTAATGAGATTTTGGTATAACAAATAAAGATCGTTCACAGAAACTGAAATGATCTCATCGATTTCGCATTGTTTGATATCTTATAAGGAGACATGTGTTTCTATCCTTTAACAAGGACAAAACCATTTTTTTTGCTCCAAACAAATCCTGTTATACGAAGAATGGCTGATATACAGTGCTAATAATTAATGCTGAATGACCGGATTTAATGAGGTTTTGGTTGGGTGAAATGGCCATTGACTGATAAGTCCAGTTAGAATGGAAATTTCAAACAAATTCATTTAATAAATTAGTTATATGAGACGATTTTTTTGGAATTTCCAATGTTCTGCTTGTACCAAGTGATCTGTGTTCTATTGTGTTGATAATTGAAATTTATTAATGTTAATCAAGGAATAATGTATTTAAATTTTATTATTGTGGTTGGTTACATCCGCTTCACAAGTAAATCGCCAATCAGAAATTGGTGTTTGATAAAATTTTCTCTGAAACAGTCGCAATCCCTCGATATTTTTGATCAACTAAAATTGATTAATAACTTTTGTGCAGTTTTATGTGATTAAATTATCGTCAAAATGAAATTATTACTTCGATTTATTAGTTCTATTCAGAGTGTCCAGGAAAATATCTAGAACAAGACGCCCTTGTTTTAAATACCAGTCAAAACCTCTTAAAACTGTGTATTTGAAACTCATTTTGCCGCTTAAATTTGTCAGAAACCAAGCAGCTTTTACACATTTGTGCCAATATTTTCAACACCTTGTCCGATATGAACACACAAATTTTCTTTTAGGTATCATGAAGCTTGAGCTAAAAAAATGGTTTTTACTTGACATTGATAAAATGAACCTTTGTGGCGCCAACAGAAGAAGCGTAAATAGATGCAAATCTGTTTAATTTGAGCTGGAAACACTGTTTATACATTTAGCAGTTGATAAACTCTTTAAAAATGATTTTCGACAATTCTTCTGATTTTATTGTTTGCTAGTTTGATTTTACCATTAATTTTTTGTGAAAACTATCAAGTGTATTGCAATTTTGACGAATTTATTTGTTTTTTTGGAACGATTTTAGGTGAAATGTTGACCAATGTCGATGGGGGATTTTTACAAAACAAACAATTATTTTTGGGTGGAGTAGAAACTTTTTGTACAAAATTTGCATTTTTTTATAGATAAATTTAAACATTAATGCAACATTGTCTGTTTTAGATCTTCTGCATTGGTTTTGCCTGCATAAAGTACACATGTATTTTATGGATTAGCACTTTTTGAGTCAAAATAGCAAATAACTCGAAACTTTTTCAGTGTATTGCCATATTGATAAAATTCTTGGATTTTTAAGACTTAATTGTAGCTGAAAACGACGAAATTTTTCCAAAAAACATGATTTTTACATTAGAATAGTGTTTGTTTTTGGCAAACCGCCCATTGAAATGGGACTTATTTTATGCTGAATTAGCCCCAAAGAGGCAAATTTGTGATCGTAACAGCCGGAAAACTTTTCAAGCGAGGGGCTCGCAAAACGTTGCTCTAAACGTCGGATTTCTAAAAGTTTTAGTTTTCCTTCATTCTCCTCTTCAATCAGAATGTTTTTGTTTCGGGCAGTACGTTCTCGAGGTAATTTTTTGAGTAAAAATTGCAAATTTTTTTGAAAACCTCTCAGTGGATTGTCGTTATGATGCGATATTGTTTTTTTTTCAGTCGATTTTAGCTGGAATTTCAAGGGGCAACTTAAAAAAAACATTTTTTCTTTAAACTAGATATTTTTTTGGAAAACTACCCGTCGATATGTAGCTCATTTTATGCTGAATTTTTTGCTTTCTGGAATTCATTTTTTAAAGTTTTTCATCTAGGCTTAAGCAATGGAAGCGACATTTTTGTTTAGTCTTTAGGCGTTTTGAGCGCGAAAAATGGCTGGCGCATTTGAAAAAATAAAATTTCACCGATGTTTCCAAGACTGTCGTGAAAAATCGAAATGTTTATTGAAGAAAGTAAAAAATATAAATTCAAAAGCGTTTATTTTAGTTTTTCTGTGTTCTTTTTCCATGCAAATCGTTTTGCGTCAAAATTTTAAATTTTCTCGAAGACAATTTAATAATAGATTGCGACTTCACAAGCGGTATAAAGATGTTTGAAACGATTTTAGCTGAAAGCGAATGTTGATGGGTGTTTTTTTTTTATTTAACACTTAGGTACATATTTTTAACCGTTTTTTTTTCAAATTTGTCAATTATCGGAATTTGTTTCATCAAAATAAAATTTTTGAAGCTGATTGACAATATTATCCATTTTGAAACGAAATATCGAGTTGACTCGATTTACAGTAAAATAATAGACGTTTTCTGGAAAATGGTTCATTTTGAAATCGATGAGTGGTTTTCCAAAAAAATCAGTATTTTCAGGAATAGCTATATTTTTGATCTAAACATTTTAAATGACAAAACGAATGATCAATTAATACAGACACTGTTGTACTGATGTTTTTTTTCACTTAAAATGTCAATTTCTCACGTTAAACTTTTTTGGAATAAAATCTCCAATACCTATGGGCGGTAATGCAGAAAACAAACTTTTTAATTCAAAAACCGTGTTTTGTTTGTAAAAATTACTAATCAAGTACTCGTTTTCAGCTAAAATCGTGTGAAAAATACGCAAATTGCATCGGAATTCCAATTCGGTGAATAATTTGCCAAAAAATACTATTTTGACCCAACAAAATACATCAAGCTGCAAAGAAAGATTGCAGAAAAACTAAAACAGACACTGATGTTATTATTTTTGATTTTTGCTGTAAAATTTTAAAATTTTTTTCAAAACGTTTTCATCGATAGTTTTAGACTCATTTTCCACAAAAATTTAAAGGTATAGTAAAAAAAAATTTCGAGTTTATAAACAGATAAAAAACGGTGTTTTAACCTCAGATTAATCAGATCTGCATCTATTTACCTTTCTACTGTTGGAGCGATAATGGTTCAATGTATCAATGTCTAGCAAGAGTACGTTTTTTAAAATAAAGCTTCAATATATCCAAAAATAAATTGCATGATCTTTTCCTCAAACAGGGACTACAGGATGTTCAAAATTGAAACACGAATATGAAAAACCTGGTCCGTTTGTGACAAATTTTCAGCGATTAAAAACAATTTTTTTCAGAAACGCTTTCAGTTATGCGGACACCCTGTATATGTTTATAATAAATAATGGCAACTTTATCAGACCACCCTGGATATTTCCCGCAGAATCAAAGTGAAGTAATTGAACTAAGCATTTTTCTGAACGGTGCTAACACAGTCTGCTAATTTTTCATTTGCGAAAACCTTTAAAATAATGTGTGAATTGCTTGGAAAAACCCAACATAATAATTTGGTCATTCAGATCATGTAGTTTCGGTCCCCAAACAATTTTTCTCTGTCCAAAACGACACGGTCTGAGATTAACCGAGCCGATTACAAATTCCAATGATATCGCAAAGTCAAATGGGCAGTTGCAAAGTCACTGACTCGCAAATATTTTATATGCAAATGGGACCGAGTCCAAATTGCATTTTGTATCATAATGCGAGCAATTTGTTTTGTGTATAAAATGCATTAAAGAATCTGGTTTTCATCTGGATTCACCCGGGGGATTAACCTGCAGTTCACCTGAACCTTTTCAGCAATATTCGAGAGGAATTTTGCCTCTTCTAACATGAATTTTTTAAAGATCCTGGTTTTAATGTAATTAATGCAGATGGTTTCAGAAAAAGATCTTGAAAAAAAACTAATTGCTTGCGCCTAATAATTAACAGCAACCTTTCTATATGGTGCTCATGGACATGATTATGAATTTGTATTTTACATCGAATAGCATACATATTCCTGCCATATAATGACGATAATTAATCTCAATTAATTCCGGTCTTTTGATTTTACATTATTCGAGAAAAAGAGCCGATAAACAAGAGTTGCTCATTAAATGAGAGACAATAACACAAGCTACTAAAAGAGATGATTACCTCATCTGATGTTATCCGTTAGTGCTTCCTCGTTACGTTTTCGTACTTTTTTGCCGCTACTCAGCATTATGAGACAATTCGTCTAAGCGCTTTCATGCTACATCTTGTTAGGAAAAAGTTATATTATCCAGATAACAAACATTATTATCTCTTTTCTTAATGCGATTGTCTCATGTAATAAAGCGGCGTTTGAAATTGCCTTTTCTTTTGCCGTGGTTTGTTTCGCAAAATCTGCAATACTTTCAGGGATTGAGACATTGTTTATATAAGCAACTAATGTGCATTATTGACTGTATATATATTTTATTTGTTAGTTACTCAAACTTTTCTGGGAACTAGGAATTATTTAGGAAATTCAACATATGCAGTGGACAACTAGGCACTTTCAACCACGATAGAATAAACAAAAAACCAAAAGTCTTACCTGTGAAGAAAGATAAAGCAACAACGGCCCCAATGACGTACTTGATCATGATTAAGATGAAAATAAATTAAAAGAAAAAGCTACTAAACCGTACAAACCGCGACGTGTTTCTAAGTGAACTGACCAGCTTCTGGTTACTGGTTCGAAATATATGCAAGCCACTTGCGGAACCAGACTGGTGGTTCTTTAGCATTATGTTGTAGGCAACTTGAACTTGATAGGAGAACAAGGATTTGAGAAACCAGTCATCGGGAATTCAAGTCATCATCGCAGCGGCCAAAATGAGTCTAATTATTTACGCATTAGGAAGGAAAACAATAATGAAAGCGATAACTGGTACCAATTAACAGTGCATTTTTGAAAGTGTTCTCACCAAAAATATCAATTGGTAATTTTAGTGTCAGGCACTGAGATAACCTGAGAATAAAATAATGGACCATGCAGGATTTTTTCAGAACTTCTTCAAGAAATTCTTCGTTGTTTGTTAATCTGGTTTATGTGTTATCTACGGTATTTTTCGCAATGTTTTTATCATTTATTTAGGGCGTTTTATGGGAGTTTTTGACGAAAGTACCATTAGCGATTTTTCAAGGCTTTGTCTTTTTGTAAAAATTTTACTCTGGAAATGTGTTTGCTATGAGTTGATTTGATGTAGTTCCTTGATTGCTCATTTCATTTTCTTTGCTACTCATATTGATCTCGTCTATAAGGATTTTGTGTCTCTTTCCGTGGCAGGATTATTCTTCATTGCTCGTACGTTTTTCATTTTTTTACATTTTCATTTAAAGGTTCTTTCTGCTCAAAAATGATTCTGCAAATTTAATGAAATTTATATTCTTCCACATTCCGGTCGCTTATTAATTCTATTGATTATTCTGATCAAATCTCTAGCAATTGTTCTATATTATATATTTATTCCGTATGTAACGGAAGACAATTCTCATTTTTGCGAATGTTGGTTTAAAAATGCACAATTGTACACAATTGCTCGCTTTTAACTAAGTTTTCCTTCTCAGTAACTTAGAACTTTCACCAGTTAGTGACAAGACTTCTGAAATAATCTGAAAGCTGTGAAAAACTTATAAAACTTGCAAAGCACGATGATGTTTGTCAACTTTTCAAACGATGGGTTGAAAATGAGCAATATCATGCATTCGTGCGCCTTTTTTTAATTCTACCTTATAATCCAGAACAAGTAGCAACTGAAAATTCTCACAGTTTATACAAGCTTGTTCCTAAAAACAGTAAAAATTTCATTCAGCTTCAGATAAAGCTTCATATTTGCGCCTTTTGTGAATGTTGGACTAAAAATGTAGATTTTTCGCTCAATTGCGCGCCCTCTTTAACAAATTCCAACGTCTAATCCGGAAACAGTAGCAACTGAAAATTATCAAAAATTGCAGAAAAATCTTGGCTCTGAAAACTGGGAGAACTTCCAGGCGCGATGCATATAGGAGTTTGTCCGCTTTGTGAATGCTGGTCTAAAAATGAACGATTGCACGCATTTGCGTGCTCCTATTTGAAAATTCATAACTTATAATGCAGAAAACTTCACCACCTGACATTCTCACCGTGTAAAGAATATACTTGTTTCTATAAACGCTGAAAAATTGACTCAAATTGCGATAAAGGTTTATTTTTGAGGCTGAGAATGTTTGCCTGAAAATGTAAAATTTCCCACAATTACGCGCCCTTGTTTAAGAACTGCTGACGTTTAATGCAAGGACAACATCAACTGGAAATTTTCAGAAAATACACGATTCGGAAACTTTAGCAAATGCTTGGTTAAAAATGAACAACTTCACACATCTGCACGCGCTTTTCCAAAAAATCCTAACTTCTAATGCAGAGCAGGTAAAAACTTGAAATTCTCCACGATTACAGAAAATAGTGCCTTGAAAAAGTGCAAATTTTGGGCAAATCGCGGTAAACTTTACCTTTTGCCACTTTTGTGCTGATATGCAAATGTATCATTTCATGTAAAATTCATAAATTTTTACCCGGAGAAAATAGCAGTATTGAATGCCAATAACTATCGTTTTATTAAACAATGTTCCAGACAGAAGATCTGATAAAATCTAAAGAATATGAAGAAAAGAAACTGTAATTTTCTTTTTTATTATTTATATTTTGCAAAGTTTACAACACTCAACAAGGCGCTATGTTATGAACATATTCCAACTTATATCATTGAAATTCTTTAATTCTCGATTGACATAATGAAAAATACATTAAGAAAATTTGTTGTTTTGCTCCTTATTATATGGATTTATCGCAGTTCTTTGCTCTCTGGTCTTATTTAATGCTTATTCAGCTCAAGGCTAATGTGAGGAAAAATAGCTAATACAGAAATTTATATTGTTGTTTATAATGTAATTTTATACATCATCTTAATTACGTACAGCCGATAAAATAGTAACTAACTAACTAGTAAGTAAAGCACGTTCTTGTGTACACTCCAGATAAAGCATTGACGAAGAAAACCTTCACATATTTTCAATTAATTGTTTCTAGTAATTTTAGGAAGTCATGATTGTTTATGTTTCTGTTAATTAATTTTCTTAAAATGCCAACTGTTTTCTGCAGCAACTGCAAACAATATTAATTATTTTTTCTGCCTTGTTGCTTTTTCTAGTTGATTCGTTCTACTGCCTTGTTCAAAATTCGCTATACAAATTGTAAAAGCGCTTCAAAATTGCATAAGTTTCCAGTGAACTTTTCACTAAATTTTACCGTTATTTGATAATTCTGAAACTGTCAGTCAGCTTTTTACAAATGTTTTTCTCAAAATACCGCAATAATCCTCAGTGTGAATGTGAATTTTAATCATTGGTTTAGGAAAATCAACTGTATTTCATTGATTTTTTTTGTATAAACTTACAATTTCTTGTAAACAAACAAAATAGCACTCTTTCTCAACATTTTTTTAAATTTAAATTGACTAAACGACTCTTTAACAACAGCTCGGTGGAAATCCAAAATATGTTCATTTGAACACTCAATGTTTGCTTCTACTCGAATGCGAAATGTTTTCAGAATTAAGCAATAAGGCAAAACTTGCTTTCTGATCTAAATGATTTTTGCGAAAAAATAAAATGGGAAAACCTGTGAACATTGTTAAGTGCAGTTTTATAAGAAAATAAGAACAGATGACGGTACTTTTTGCTCATATATTAGGAACTGCACCTAAATAAATAGGAATGAACATGCTAAATATGCAGGTTAATTAAAGGTTCAATTGCAAGCACTTTTAGTCGTGGCTTGTAAAATTTTTGTTGCCATCCTCGAAAGCAATTAGAAGAAACTTCTCGCTTTTTCGCCTTAAGTCAAAAGCGTTATTTCACTTCTTCGGTTCTAACTTCTCTACAGGGTCTTTCTTTGCTCCATCTCTAGGTGTCTTAGAAATACAGCCGGTTTCTTCCAACTGAAGATACTCTTGAAGGCAATGCCCTCAATTTCACGGTTATTTCAAGCTTAATCAGATCTTATCTGTTCCTTTGAGATTCAGTAATTCATTAGACCTGCAAACACCCTTTCAGGTTTAATTAGTTCAGTAGACTGCATATGGGAAGCTGTTTTGCAATGGATTTTCTTTAAACGTTTCTGCTGAATGCAGCTTCGGCTTGTATGGTTTGAGTAGGTACCTAAGCATTATTTTTCTCAATTTTCTTAACATAACATGCTTGTAACCCGCCAATGTGCAATTCTGGGAATGTTAATTCCAATGTCAATGTGGAATGCATGTCTTGTAGACATTATGTACCTACGCAACTATTGGCTCAGAATATTCACGCAAAAAAAGTCTCTATAAGTTTGGGTGAAATAAATGACTGCAAAATTTAACCTGAATGCCTGCCAAATGGAAGAAGAAACAGCACCTATACATTAGAGTTGCGGCTGTTGGGCTGCTCTGGGACAGAAAAAATAAGCTTCCTGAGAAAGCAATATATTCTACACATAATATAATAGAGCATCGGCTTTCTACGCCAGGGAATCGGACGACTTCGTTTGAACCCTGAAACTTGCAGGGAATTTAGAGGCAGTCAGGAATCGGCTCTATCCCGCTGTCCGGGCAACCTTTTGCTGTGTTCCATTCGTGCACACGTTCTAGCTCAATATCCAACTTGAGAGCCTCTTTATGTTCCAACGAGTCGAATTGTTCCGCTAACTGCTGATTTAAATGTCTCGAGCTCAATAATGAGGCCTGCAGCTCTATGTGATCGAAGTACTGCATCGATATAAAAACTCGCGGATCGAAAACATGAGATACAACAGATATGGGATTTAAAAGGATTTTGTTACTATGTTGTCATTTGCTGGTTATAAAAGATGTTTGTGTTGTTGCCGGAAGTTCGCCATCGGTAAAAAGAGGTGAGCTGCTTAATTAGTTTCAGGTCGATATTTTTAAGCTGCATGTAAAAGTCGCTTTCAAATGTTAATTGCAATCAAACCAAAATTAACCATTCAAATATTGGACAATAAAACTGATCGCACAATAGTTGAGCAGGTCTTTTTATAATTTAATTCAACAGGATATAACCAATTGAGAACGATTTTAAAAGGCCAGCGAGGTTTCAATAGCATTAAACTGATACCGTTTTACGTCATATCAATTATTAATCATATTCGCATGCCATTCAAGAAATTGCTTAAGGGAATTCAATAAGTCTACAAAGAATGAGCGCGGCTTGCAATATTTTTATCCGCAAATCCAGCAAAAATGGATAAAGACGGCGAAATATGTCAACATTTTATTTTACTTTCTACGTGACTAGAGACATAGATACGGGGACGAACTGGTTTCTCATCTAAATTATCCGCGTTTTTCCGCGGAAAGTTTTAACATGGATATAAATTCTTGAACATCACATTCGCGAATATTTATCGATGTCGCTCTTTCGCTTAAATCGAATCTACTCTATCTGGGACACTTAATACATTGAATGTACGAATTTTTCTTTCAGGCTTTTGAACTACTTCCATATTAATCATCGTTCGATATCCACAGCCAAAGTGAACTGACGATGGAAGCGCGAAATTATGTACAATTTGTCTTCGACCTATATTTTTTTATTTTTCCATTCATATTGCTACTCCATATACGAATGCGTGTTTCACTCTCCGTTGTCTCTGAAATTCTCAGTTTTTCTGGGTTTTGGCAACAACAACGGTGTGAATTTTAACAATTAAACATCGAATTGGTGTTTCGTCCACCTATTCGCAAACTTTACATATTTTCACCACAATTAAAAAAACAATAGCTCAAACCACTAAAAAAGTTCATGCAATTTTCAGTTAACGTTTCGCGATCATCTTTAGTAGAAAGCTAATGGTAAGCCATCGTAAAATCAATTATGTTTAATACTTGGCAACTTTAGCAACTATCGTGAAAGATTCTCGTCGATAATTCTTTCCTCGTTCATCATCATTCATCTGGAAACTAATATTACAGCCTCCAGATGTTTAGAATGTTCGTTCAATTCGGGCATTCTGGAAAAAGCGATGTAAGCAGATTCATCAGTATTAGGGAGTCTTTGTCTTACTAACCCTAACGGAATTCAAACTGATTCATCTGGAAACTAATTGGTTGGAGAACAATCTGTTTAAGACACCGAAACGTTTTTTAGAGTCGATTTAACAGTGGGAGCAGAACAAAACATTGGAAAAATCTCTAATAATTTAAAATAAACTTTCGCAACTCACTGTACCGATAAACAAAGCTGAACATTTCAACTACAGGGTATTTAAAAAGTTTAATAAGCTTAATCCGTTAGACCAATAGGAAAAATCCTCCTATAATAAATTGATGGTGATATTGGTATTGGCGCATATTATTTAATGAGCAAAATAGCTTTTAATTGCAAATTAATGCCCATTAAAATGTGAACTAACTCATAATGAAAGGGCGTTATGAAATTAAATTTGAAAATTATGTAGCCAGCGTGTACGTTTGGGTATTCATTAGTGAAATTATTTAACACCAACAATCCAACAAATGGATGGCTTAGTTTACTCATTTTGTTACAAGAAACTGTCCAGTTAGCTACATGAAATTTTACATAAAATTTGTTGCAGTTGCTAGTTGAGAATTTTCTGGGTTTGTTACCCAACAACTTGCACTTCAGATGAACGTGACGCATCTAGTACAATTTTCCATAATTTTTGCATCTGTTCTTTAAATAAATAACGTTTCTGGAATAATTAATTCATTTATGATTGTGTTTTGCTGACATATTAATGCTACAAAGCCCTAAAAATATATTTAAAGAACATCAGTTGTATAAATCCGAATTTAAAATGGTGGCCCTTCTAAAATCATAACTGAGCTTTTCATATTATTGTCTGTTTTGTCTTTGAAGACGACGGTTTCGGTATAATTTGCATAGCAAATTACAAATGTAGTTTGCTTCAATAGTTGCAATCAACCAATTCAGTGAAAAACAAAGGTTTTGTATGTTCATTAAGTGCAATTATTTGTGTCCATTTTTTCAGACGCGAGGGTTATTTGATTTAAAATGTAAATATTTAATACGAATTAACTCAAGCTTATCAGGTTTTTAGTTTGCAAGTTTATTATTCCTTTTTACTTTCTGTTAAATTTTCTCTGTTAACTAAATTATAAAAACACGCACTTTTTACTTTGTTTCAAATCTGCTGACCGATCGACTATAGTTTGTGCAATTTCTAAATCTAAAAAAGTTTGCCGCGATTAAAAAATAAAAAAAAATATTTTCGGTTAAAAAACATGTCTACTATAAAAGTATTGGCTTACAGTAGGCCGAAAATGTTTATTATTTCGAATCTGGAGTTTCTAATGTGCTTTTCAATGTGCTCGATGAATTCCTCGCATTTTTTACACGAAATAGATGAAAAATTTAAGCATTTTGAGATACTTTTTTTTTTAAATCTGCCCCTATGAAATTTTCGGTCAAAAATAACATTTTCACATATTTGCCTTTGGAGCTCAATTGACTGTTTTTGATCTAAGAAGCTTCCCAACCTATACATTTTTGATCTAGTGCCAGTTTCAAGCAGGTTTTTTAGTAAACTCGTTGCATTCCTCACTTTTTTAGATGAAATTGATGTTGAATAAAAACCAAGATTTCACATGCGTGTTTTTTTACCGCAATAAATTGTTTTCCAATTTACAAGTTTGCTAATGATCATTTGAAAAACATATGGAAAAATGCAGTCAGTTAAAGAACGCCACTGCTCAAAAATAGCTTAAAGTAGGTGAAAAGCAGATTATTTCGAATCTAAAGCTTCTGGTATATTTTTCCATGAGCTCGTTACATTCCTTACTTCTTTCAGATGAAATTGATGTAAAAAATCCTGCATCTTTTATGAAATTTTCGCTCAAAAATAAAAAATCATGTTTTCGGTGCTAAATTGGTTATTATTTACCTAAGAAGACCACGAATGTACGTTTTTACACCATTTGCATCGTCAACTTGTTGCATTCCTCGCTTCTTTTAGATGAAATTGATGTAAAAATCAAAGCAGAAAAAAAAATTTTAAAGTCGACTTCAAATTAAGTTTTTCGTCAAAAATTAAAATTTTACGTCCGTTTTTTAGCTAAATTGACTGTATTCCACCTTACAAACTTCATAATGTAATTTTTTACAGTGCTTGGGTTTATAAAATGTAAATTATTATCGGTTAAAAAACGTGACTGCTCAAAAATGGCTTAAAATAGGCGAAAAATATGGATTATTTTGATTCTAAAGCTTCTGGGATGTTTTTCTATGAGCTCGTTACATTCCTTGCTTTTTTTGGGATGAAATTAATGTAGATTTCAAAGAATTTTGAGAAAATTAGTACACCTATTTTTTTAAATCGACTTACACGACGTTATACGACATACCGGTATGAAAGCTTCGGTCAAAAATTAAAATTTTACATGCGTTTTTTTGTAGATAAATTGATTGTTTTCAACCTAACAGGCTTCCTAATCTACATATTTACAGTGTTTTAGCTAATAAAAAAAGAGATATTGTCGGTTAAAGAATGTAACTGGTCAAAAATCGCTTAAAATAAGCCAAAAATACCGATTATTTCGAATCTAACAAAGTCTCTAACATGTTTTTTAATGAGCACTTTGCAAATTATCTCTTCTTTTAGATGAAAGTGATGAAGAATTTTAAAGAATTAATTGGCTGTCTTAATGTTGGTTTTTTTCAGTTCCAAAGCCTCATTTTACCACATCAATATTGTGCAAATGATTTTTTTTTGTCTGCTAGCTGACTCGAAAAAGGACCATTGCAACAAGACGGTGGATATCTACGAAGATGTGTCCAGTCCAGAGCTGACCCCCGAAAATTTGGGACAGCCGATGACCTGCTGGTACAGGTTTCGGTCGTTTCGTGGTGCTCCAAAGGACTGGATCTTACGTGTTAAATTCAACAAGTTCAAAGTGGGAAATCTGGTCAATGCCACTCACTGTGAAGGCGGATTTATGCAGGTAATTCATCAGTAATTTCACGCAAATGTAGATCAATGCACTGGCTGGATGATTCTCTAACTAAACACTTCAGCAAGCAATTAGCGGATGGTTTCATGTCCATTCTGCCCACAAATCTTCGTCGGCTGATGATGTAGTTGGCCTTAAGTGAAGTCTTTG